TTCTATTTATTTATGTAGATAATATTAGTCTTAAGAGTATAAAACGAATAAAATGTTTCTCTACCTATCTCTTATGTTGTCTGTTATAGATTTAATAACAATCCAACCGATGTACCCTAAGCAGATTATATGTTTTTGAAAGGCAGTACTAATAAGGTAAATATATATCATAAAAATAATGTATTCTGTACACAAAATTGCAATCTCATCAAAGAGTGGCATTACTCATAAATTTTTAGAAGCTACGTCATATATCTCTTAGTTCTCACTAAAGATAAAGTCTTGAGGATGTTAAAACCTACACATATCTGTCGATATATTGGAAAAATATTCATTAACACATCCTGGAGGCGAGTTATGAAGTATGTATGAAGGAACACGTACAATTTTTGGAAGAGGCGCTCCCAAGATGGTCGTGACGTGTATACCGAACACAATAACACGGCAACCCTTCTTACTTTCTTAATAACTATTATTTTTACCCACACAGTAGGGAAGTGGAGTGTTCTATCAACGCCAAATTGTTACAGTTGATATTTTTATTTCATGTTTCCACTAGTTTTTACCCACAAATGATCTAGGATAGTATTTTAACAGTATGCAGTTTGATACTGTTCGATGTGGTACAGTAATAAAAAAACCCTAGACAATTCACACAGCGCCATCTAGTTCCAAGCTTCCAGTTGATCTTGTGTTATAGGTACTAAACAACAGATAGCTCCGATCGATCCCCCATCCAACACAAACGTACGGGATCGTAATTACGACGGCCTAAGCCGAGGTTCGACCCTCTAGCGGTGCTCTCAGACTAAAGTCGTATCCGTCAGGTGGGAGTTGGCCTTTAGCCACTCCATAAGGGTCCTTCCAAGGGTTTGTAGTGCCATCTGCACTCGCCCACTATCGTCCGGTGGAGCTGTAAAGGCCAGCCACGGCCGACTGCATTAGAGTAGTCCGGAAAAAAAACTTAAATACATTTTTTTGTAAATACATAGAAATTATAGATAGAACATACCCAAACCAATACAAATAATTATACTGATGAATACAAAGGTTTTTATCATACCAGAATTCGAACCCACGTCTAGCTATGTAAAGCGGTGTGTTGAACCGGTAGATCATCTAGATGGAATATATACTCGAAATATTAGTGAATTTATATATAAAATCCGTTGCGGAGTTTAGACGTAAGCTAAGAAACAGACATACGAAATCAGCGATTTTATACTTTTTAATATGAATAAATATACTTTATATATAGATAAAAAAACTGTTATGCATGTTTCAGTTAAAATGTTTATCGTTAAAAAATACTTCAAACATGCGAAAAAGGTCCTACATTTTTATTAGAAGGTGAGCGGGGCGAATAAATAAAAGGAATTTGATTATTTTCACAGTCGATTGGGAGGAGGACCATGCGTAAAGATTGTTATGTGTCGCCCCAAACGTTTTACATACATAACGAGGGTGCTTCCCTTTATTAAAATATTAAAAACCTATTCCTTACAAAAACACAGCTTTTAACATTTTTCACAATTAGTTTCCACTGTATGTATTACTAGTCGACCCGACAAACGTAGTTTAGTAGGTTGACAGTAGAAGTAATGCGCAATCATTAACAGAAAAATTGGTCTAAAAAGTAAAACTCAATGTAAAATGGACCTACCTTACTATTTAGGAGTAGTGGTAATATGAAAATAGTTTACATGCTATTCTCTTCCAGAGTAAACACTTAAAATTTTATAACAATTGGTCAAGCCTATAGATAAGATAGTCAAGCCATTTTCGAAAAGTTTTGTTACAAATACTGTGACACGAAAATTTTATATATTATATATAAACGGATTTTTAGTAGTTTCAGAAGTTAAAAACTACAATTTATAAGACTAATACCATATTATTCCTATATAATCTTTTTTTTTTTTTTTTTTTTAGAAGCCTTTATTTCTGTACACACATTTTTTTTTTTTTTTTACATTCCTGTTCATTCATATTACTATATTATACTATAAATTTATTATTTTTATATATATTTTTTACTATTATTGTTTGTTAAGTAGTTTAATTTTTATTTTTTTTTCTAATGTTTAATTATTAATTCCATTTTCTATATTATATCCCGCAGTACAGAGTGCCTTATGGCAAAGGCCTCCTCTAATTCCTTCCAGTGTACTCTATTTTGGGCTGCTCTTCTCCAGTAGGGGCCTGCTGTCAGCTTGATTTCATCCTCCCAGCGTCTCTGTGGTCTACCTCTTTTTCTTTTTGTTTCCCTTGGATACCATTCAGTTACATAAGTACTCCATTTTTCAGGTTTGCTTCGAATCATGTGCCCAGTCCATCTCCATTTTTGTTGGTCTATCTGCACAAGAATGTCTGTCAAGTTAGTTTTTGCTCTTATATCCTCACATCTGTGTCTGTCTTTTCTGTTTATCCCTAACATACTTCTCTCCATGGCTCTTTGACATCTTTGCAATTTCTCCCGCTGTTCTTTGTTTAAGGCCCATGTTTCGCATCCGTATGTCAGACACGGCAGAATGCAAGTATTAAATGTCTTTCTTTTTGTTGACAGTTGTATGTTCTTGTTTTTCATTGTCTCTCTCAGAGACCAGTATCTCTTCCATCCACTGGCTATTCTTTTGTTTATTTCTTTATCTGTCTGATCTCTAAAAGACACCACTTGTCCCAGGTAAACATACTCTTCCACATACTCCAAGCACCCACCGTCCAAACCAACGTCAATCTCCATTGAGTTGGTCAGGATCTTGGTTTTTGCAGTATTCATTGACAAACCCACTGTTTTGCTTTCGTTTGACAGACTTTGAATCATAGTTTCAAGGTGTATAGGACTTTCTTCGAAGAGTACAATGTCGTCTGCAAAAAGTAGGTGAGTCAAATAGGATCCATTTATATTGAGTCCAAAGCCTTCCCAGTTCAGTTTACGGCAAATGCTTTCCAACACAGCTGAGAATAGTTTGGGAGATAATGGGTCTCCCTGTCGTACTCCTTTATTTATTGGGAATGAACCACCCAAGGTTTCTAATTTTATTTTGGCTTTGCTTTCTGAATATATATTTAGTATTATTTGTATATAAGAGTAGTGTATGCCTTGTTGTTGTAGAGCTTTCCATATATAGCTATGTTTCAGACTATCAAATGCCTTTCTGTAATCAATAAAAGCGATATACAGAGGTTTGTTATATTCATTGTATTTTTCTATTAGCTGTTTTATAGTGTAGATGTGGTCGATAGTAGAGAAATTCTTACGAAAACCTGCCTGTTCTATAGGCTGGTTTTCATCAAGCTGTTTTGATATTCTGTCTAAGATTATCTTTGCAAATACTTTGTACAGATTCGACATCAAACTTATAGGCCTATAGTTTTCTATGTCATCCTTTGTCCCTTTCTTGTGTATAAGGATTATGTGAGATTCGCTCCACTGAGATGGTATCATTTTTGTTTTTAGTATGTCATTAAAGATCAACATAAGTAAAGGTATTATTTCCTTCATGGCTCCCTTTATTACCTCATTTGGAATGTCATCGGGTCCAGGTGCTTTTTCTGGAGGTAGGCTTCTTATTGCCTTAGCTATTTCCGATGGTAGGATTGTGGGTACTTCACTTTCTGCCTCTCTTAATATTTCAGACTCCTTTTCTAGCACTGTATTTATTTTATCCTTATCGGAATATAATGTTGTATAGAATTCTGTAGCTATTTCTTTAATTAGTTTTCTGTCTCTTTCGCTTTTTCCCTTCTTTTTGAGGTTTGGTATCCATTCTTTACCATATTCTTTAAGTTCTTTGAGAGCTTTTTTTACTCCGCCTGTTTTTTTAATATGTTTTTCCAACGTTTCCTGTCTGCGTTTTCTTCTGTCCCGTCTCATATTTTCTCTAATTTTCTTACTTATCTCTGCTATCTTTCTTATTCTTTCTCTTTCCATTGTATATGTATCTTTACTTAGACTTTTACGTTCTGCTATTAGCTTGTAAGTTTCTTCGCTAAATTTGTTTCTGTTAGGAGTGGCTCTCCTTCTTCCAATTGATTGTTTAAGTTGTAGTTCCATTTTATTATATCTATCTAATAGGTTTAAGTCTTCATATCCTATTTGCGTTAGAGACATAAGAGTGGACTTGTGTGGTACTCCAGAAGTAGGTCGTTGGTTGCAGTATCTATTTATTTTATTTCTATTAAATTTAGGCCTGGGAATCCTGAGGCAACTTCTTACCATGCGGTGATTAGTGTTGAAGTTTAGGTTTTTTATTATTGTTGTATCACTAAAAGCTTTGGGATGGTTGCAACAGATGTAATCAATTTCATTTTTGTACTTTGCATCTGGCGAGATCCAAGTCCACTTGTTGTTTTTCTTCTTAAAGATTGTGTTTAGTATCGTAAGATTGTGTTCCAAAGTGAACTCTATTAGTTTTTGCCCATTGCAGCTCCTTTTTCCGTAGCCATATTTTCCAATTGTAAATTCTTCCTCTGTTTGTTTTTCTCCTACTTGAGCATTAAAATCTCCCATTACTACAATATGATTGTTAGAGTACATTCCAATTGTTTCTGAGAGGTCATTATAAAAGGAGTCTACTACTAACTGTTCGGCCTGTTCGGTAGGTGCATATACTTGTATTATTACCCATTCTTTCAAATATGTAGGAATTTTGAGGCGAACGACAGCTATTCTATCTGTGACACCAATAAATTCGATTATGTCTCTCTTATAATTATTTTTAATGAGAAATCCTACTCCCCTATGGCCACTGACTTCGCCTTTGTAGTACATGACATAATCTGAATTTTCTACTATTCCTTCCCCCACGCGTCGCATTTCACTGATACCCAATACATCCCAGTTGAGATCTTCTAATGCTAGTTCCAATTCTTGTAAGCTTTCTATTGTCCTCAAAGTTCTAGTGTTTAGAGTACATATGTTGAACTTTAAGCTATTTTGTTGAAGAATTAGAGGGTGTTGGTCGCACACCCCACGGTGCCCCGCCGGAGTGGGGTTTTTGTATTTTTTATTTATTTTTATGTTTGTTTTATTTTGAAATCTTGCACTTTGGTAGGGATCTTTTACTAATTGCTATTGCTTGTTTTCTGATATTGATTTTGGTTTCTTGTTAAAATAATCCATGACTTTATTTATTTTTTGAGGATTATGGGAAATACTGGTAGATGGAGCATTTGGTGAGCATGATTCTGAACGTTTCCGCTTGTCTTTCTGTGTCTCGTTTACGACAAGTTTATCGTAAGATATATATGCTTTCTTTCCTTTGGCAATTTCTTCTTTCATTTTGATTTTTAACTCTTTACGTTTTAACAAGATATCCTTTGGGAAGTCTTCTGTTACATATATGTTTTTCGGGAACTTACTTTTATTTTTAAGAATTTCAGTTCTTCTCCATGTGAGGGTTAATGTTATCAAGATAGGTCTAATTTTTGACTCCTTCTTTTTACCCAGCCTCTGTACTCTGCTTAGCTCCCACTTGTCCCATTCCTGTAGGGCCGTTTCTACGCTCAGCTTGTTAAGAGTTTCCACAACTAATTCTTGAAGCTCTGTATAGTTCTCTTCCTTTTCAGTAACGCCATGCAGTATTATATTGTTTTTTCTAGTTTGTTTTTCCATTTCAAGAATCTTCACCTTCAATGATTGTACCTCCTGCTTCAATTCTTTATTTTCTATTATCAATGGTTGTATTTTTTCATCAATTGTTTTTGATATTTCAGTGGTCTGTTTATGTAGTTCTTCTCTCAGTTGGTCTAATGTGATCACCGCGGTATTTTGGCTGGCCATTATGGATTTCTACTATTTGGTAGTTTAGCTTTTATGTTGGAAACACTATGACGTATTTCGGACTAATAGTTTGACGTTTAATGTCTCTTTCAATGTCAGTTGTCAGACTGGTCAGTGATCGTTTCCTTGTGGTAGTTGTCAATTTATGAATTTTGGTCGTTAAATATTTTGTTTTCGTATATGTGTTGTTATATATATATTTAGTCGTCTTACTTGATTTTGAAGTTTTTTGCTTGGTCGCAGTGTTTATTCTTTTGTTTTAACCACAATAGAGTTGGAGTAGTTTCAAGCTTCTATTTTACACCACAATAAACCACTAATTTGCGCGATAAATCACTATATTTTAATTTTGATTGCGGAACAGTTTTGTGTACGTGATATTTTGACAGATCCCAAACCGGAAGTCATTCCTATATAATCTATACATATAAATAAAATTGGAGTGTCTATTTGTAATATTGAAATAACCGTTTTTTACTATGTGTCTATAGACACCAAAATAACATTTTTTACAATTTTTATTGCTCTGTCTGTCGTCTGTTTGTTCCGGCTAATCTCTGAAATGGTTGGACCGATTTTGACGGGACTTTTTTTGTTGGCTGATATAATAAGGCTTAGGCTACTTTTATTTTAGAAAAATAAAGTTGAATTCCACGCGGACAAAGTCGCGGGAACAGCTAGTTATAATATATGTCAAAAAAATAACAGTATAAGAGGCATCTTAGTAATATGGAATGTGCCATTGTAGATTACTAAGATGTCAGGCAGACTTCTGCATTAGTGGTACCCCATGGCACCACTAATTCACTATCATCACTTCATCATCATAATGAAGTCCATAGTTCTATTCACGTATATACGCGACAGTTACCGTTTACCATCACATAGCTAGCTGCTTGTTTGTCATTCCCTACATACAAAAATTTATCCTTTAAGTAAAAAAATATTAGGAACAATAATAAAACAAGAAAAGAGTTCATAATACCGTTTAAAGGATTTAGTCTAAACGTTATCTGCAATTATGTTTTGAACCCTCCCATTTAACTCACCGAATGAGCTTCTAGGATATAACAAGTTACGATGCGCCATAGATATAAACTTCTTAACAGAGTTACGGTCTCTTTCGTGGAGGAAAGTTTTAAAACCACTACAATTTATGGTCAACCCCACATTAGCGTTGTCCACTCGAGGTTGCAATGTTTTGACCTTTTTGGTCACAATTCCTGAAATCAAGTTTATATAAACCGAGTTTGTAGGTATGTTGAGCCTGACATAAAATTTTACATTCACTTTTTTTATAGCATGAGTTTGCAGCTCACCTGATGGTCAGTGATTACCACCGCCTATAAGCGCCCAGTGTATTAGTCTAAAACAGTGTAAGAGAGTCTGTAGTGTATTATATCTAAAACAGAGTAAATCTAGAACTAAAACTAAACATATAAGTCCTGAGATCGATCGACCATCATTGGTTCAATGATCGATAGAAATAGAAATATTTCTATTTCTATTTCTATCGATCATTGAACCAATGATGGTCGAATAGCAAAAGAAGCGTATTATTATACTCCTAGTGTATCCTCTCACTAGACTGCTTGAAACCTGGATCGTATTTATACCAGTCTCTTAGTACAAATGAAAGCGCAACTCTAAAAAGGTTTATAAAGGAAATAAGAAAAAACTAGAAGAATAGGAATAAATAAAAAACATACTTTGAAAATTTAATTGACGAATAAAAAATCGGAAACAAATGACATTTGGTAAAGGGAATTAAGTTTCACAATGTAGCGTTACTAGAGTAGATACATAGAAAATAAGTTGTTCTAGTGCAATTTAAGAAAAAGGTACACGGTATGTAGATACAAATTCTTATCATCTATAATACAATGCAATGAATGCAGGTCTCCTTGTCCCGGGACTAATGCATTGATTATTCAAACCCTCTCCATGACCAAGATATTTTAAGTCCACCTCGGCAATAATGCAGAATAATCATGAGTACGCAGAGTACTTGCGATGTCAAAGTTTCATAACCATCTTGCAGTAAACGCAAGCATTCATTTAGCTGGAAACACAACCAATTTTATATATATACTAACTGTGATCGCGGTTTCAGCTGCATGAAATTTATAGCTTATATGTTATTCTGATGTATAAGCTATATTACTGTATAGTTTCATCAAAATCCATTCAGTAGTTTTTGCGTGAAACAAACATCCATCCATACTCAGAATGTTTTGCGTTTATAATATTAATAAGAGATATATAAATGTTCGAGCCTTTTCGTGAGATGAAGATCTTGATTGTGTAATAAAAATCAGAGATACCTGGCTAGTTGCTTAATTTGATGCGAGATATGCCTGTTTGATATGTGTATGCGAACGTTAGCGAATTTTGAATCTCAAGTCGTAACGGTTAACGTTTTGTCTCTGGCCCGCAGAAACCCCGAAGTAAAAATACTATTATGTTTATATATGTACATAACTTTTATATACTTCACAAAATTTATAACCGTTTTGTTTATTTTACCATACACACAATACGTTGTCTGCTCTAATAGAAAGTGTATCACCAATTAGCTTACATGAAGATGGATGACAAAACATCTCTGATATTTCATTAATTAAAAACTTTTAACAATTGAGTAATCTCTTTGTTGGTGTAACTTAAGATTCAGCAACCTGAAAACTTTTAACTGGATTTTGGTACCGATATTAATAATAATTATAATAATATAATGGTTCAGGAATTGTCTTGTGAATTGTTACTTACTAAGTAATTTGATACGAGAATTCTATATATTATATGTTAATAACAATTTACATGGCGCCATCTAGCCGCAATATAATCAGAGCTTATATTATGGGTACTAGATAACTGATACAAATACTTAAATTTTTAACAGTTATCTAGTACCTTACTATGTGTATGATGTAAACACGTACATCATATACATAGTAAATACCCAGACAGATATACACAATCATAATCTTATGAATACAAATGTTTGTACCGTACGGCTATCGAACCCTCGACCATCGGTACTAAAGTTACACTGTTAAACCACTGAGGCCGTCAAATGATATTGGTTGACAATATATTTTTTCTTTTTTTAATAACAGTATTCGTTATATATCTTCAATTTATAGATAGCGGTCGATTACATTTTTATTATATGATCAGGATATATCACGGATGTATCACCCCATCAAACATAAAGCCACGTATATAAACATGTATCATGTAAACAACAATACGACCGCAGAATACATTATTATATAAGGAAGAAAAATTTTGTTTACAGGGGCGTAATGTCATTTGTTGGTATTCTTATCATGGGGGTCAGATGACCTTTTCCCCTTTATGTAAATAAAAATGGAAACTATAAATAAATGTTATCATCCTCTTTTCATATAATAATTTTTATAGGTATAATTAGTAAAAATCAGGGGATCTTACCTGATTTTTACTGTACTGTATTTGCTGAGTTCCCGATATTGTGTTTCAACCACCATGATCACGAGTAAACTGTTTATCCATATAAACCCGTACCGTATAAACCGTGGTAAGATCCCGTGATTTTTACTAAATATACGTATAAATAATGACCGCGTCAAATTGAAAAAAATAGTATTTTTATGTATTCGAAATACGAAAACTTATTTCATACACATAAATAGATGATACTTAGAAACAGAAAGTCTGCCATTAAGACAATAATGACAAACTTGTTGTTCCTAAGTATCGTTTGGGAAAAGTCAATAGATCTTTTATGGAAATGGGTTTATTCGTTTATTTTGTATAAATAAAATACTCTATTAGTATCAGCTATTGGGTATATAATAGTCTAACCACTTAGGCTATGCGCTGACAATACAGTTATTCGGTTAAGAAAATACTTTATTTTTATTTGAAAATTTAAAGCTATATTTTACAGCAGAGGTTGCCAAACATTTTTGTTTTTCGGTTTTGGGTAGACATCTTACCAGGTATTATTTTTTTATTTTTTTGTAAATTTCTAACTGCAGTAAAGTTTAGTGTTAAAAATATAAAGTAAAAACAACAAGCTGTCGTATACCCCTTGCAGATTGTCATAGACCCCTGGGGGTCGATATAGATCACTTTGGGAATCACTGTTTTACAGGATAATTAAAAATACAATCGAAACAGAAAAGCCGATGATAGGTTTCCACAGTTAGAAACAATGTAAACAATGTAAAATTTACAGTATTAACACAAGAAATACGTGCGGTGTATTTATGATCTTAATAGATATTAAAATATATATTAAGATAATAATATTTCAGGACAATTCACACAGCGCCATCTAGTCCCAAGCTAAGCAGAATTTGTGTTATGAGTACTAGAGAACTAATACAAATACATGGAGTAATTCTTGACCTCTCTAATTAAATTCAGCCACACTGGGGTTAAAGGTGATTGTTAGTAATGTTGGCTGATGATCTTATTGCTAGCAATGTACCATGTCAGATTGACCACCACACGGTTCCCCCTGGAAACCATCGTGATAAATTTTTGGTGAATTTGTCACGATATGCTAACTGATCTGACCTCATATTCATCTTATAAGCTTCCTAGTGCCCCATCAGCGTAAACCGTTAGGGGGCGGGTGCAACATGCGATTATTATGCTTGAAAAAAAATTCTTCCACACTACTATAATAGTGGAAAGGGAGGTTAAGTTTAGTTTCCTCTTTTGTGTCTTACAATAGGAATTAACGTAAATGTTGTGGTTTCGTATTGAAACAAATATATTTTTGCCAACTAAGGCTATACGAAAAGATAACCTTTAATATAAAAAAAGAATCATTGATCTCGACTCGCAGGCCTCTCGAGGCCCGCGCACACACGCACACTCTAGTATAGTGATATACAATACATGCAACTTTATTATTGCACCAAAACACAGATACACTGTCTGCATTTTTATGTATTACAGTTCATTTTAATCACAACATATTTTAAACTCTAACCGTAGAGGATTTTCGTTCATAATGTTACTAACATTCTTGACCTCCGTAATCAAATTCAGTCTATCGTCGAAAACACGACGCGACACCAGTAAATTGGTAAAGAAATTTCTGCTTCATGTAACATAATAAGAA